TATGATTAACTTAATATTTCTATGAAGTCACATGATCAGACTGGCGCAAGTTTTGTGCAAAGGGCTATATCTACATGTATTATTGGTCATCACTGAAGCAACAACTACCGTGTGTACTCAGATCAAGTGACGTCACAACTATAGTGGGCGTGTCATGTGTTTATTAATAATGGGTGGAGCTCATTTGTTCAGCAAGCAAACTTGTAAACTTTTCTCTTAAATGGAAGCCAGGAGAGAAGAGATCGACACTAGCCACACTCGCTTCATAGATGCTGCAAACCCTTTATTCTATTCACTCTCTGTTGTATTAATCTTCTTCACTTTGCTATCGTTGAGGTATATCTAATCCGATGTTTTCTAGATTGTTTTATCTCTTATTCCTCCTTCCTCTCCCTCTCTCTCTAGTTGGCCACTTGTTGCATTATGGAGCTGTGGATTTGGTGTTTTAGGAGCTTATCTCTTGTTCAGGTACATATTGGTACTCCCTTTTTGTGGGCGAGGTTGATATACTTTCAAACTTTGATCATACTGATTAAACATTGATTGGTCTTTAGGAATAGAAAATTGGTTCCTAATCTTTTACTTCATCTCAGACCAGTTGTTAATGTATGTAATATTTTAATAAAGTGTATATTATTATTATATATACTTCTTCAGGTAGAGGAAGATGGCGACAATTCAGTTAAAGATTTAACGTGTCCAGTTTGTTCTAACGCAAACTGCTCATGTCATAAAGTACTTAAACCCAATGATTGTGACGTTTCAATGGTAAGGCCTTAATGATGATTGATGAAGGTTCTCTTTTGTCGTTATTGTAGCCATGGAAAGATCTTAGTGTTCCCGAAACTATTGATAATTCGTTGTCTAATGTAAGCGAGAGTTTTATTCTTTTTCTATTTTCATTTTTATTTCTCTCTTTCTGTTTTATACCCCCTCTCTCTCTTCCTGTAGTTTCTTAATATTATAATGGCAAGATTCATTACAACTTGGCACAAGTAAATATTAACTTTTTATGCAACATAAGTGCATGTATATGCATCAGAAAAAAAATATAAAAGTGTAGATTTTTTACTTTCATTATTGGCAAAATTTAGCATACTGAAATACAGACCAGCATACTAAAATACAGACCAGCATACTAAAATACAGACCAGCATACTAAAATACATATCAGCATACTAAAACACAGACCAGCATACTAAAATACAGACCAGCATACTAAAATACAGACCAGCATACTAAAACACAGACCAGCGTACTAAAACACAGACCAGCATACTAAAACACAGACCAGCATACTAAAATACATATCAGCATACTAAAATACAGACCAGCATACTAAAATACATATCAGCATACTAAAATACAGACCAGCATACTAAAATACAGACCAGCATACTAAAATACAGACCAGCATACTAAAATACAGACCAGCATACTAAAATACAGACCAGCGTACTAAAACACAGACCGGCATACTAAAATACAGACCAGCATACTAAAATACAGACCAGCATACTAAAACACAGACCAGCATACTAAAATACAGACCGGCATACTAAAATACAGACCAGCATACTAAAATACAGACCAGCATACTAAAATACAGACCGGCATACTAAAATACAGACCGGCATACTAAAATACAGACCAGCATACTAAAATACAGACCAGCATACTAAAATACAGACCAGCATACTAAAATACAGACCAGCATACTAAAACACAGACCAGCATACTAAAACACAGACCAGCATACTAAAATACAGACCA